AGTCCTTCTGTAAGAAACAGTATATTTTTAAATGAAATGGACATCTTTTTTTAAAGATTAAAAACTCAATTTAATTTTTTGATGAACTTTTAAAGAAAAGATTGATCTTATTATGATGCAAGAGACAGGAGCAAGATAATAAGAGTACTTAGTAGGGCTGGAGAGATAGCTCGGTGGTTCAGAGCACTGACTGCTCTTGCAGAGGACCCAGGTTGGAATCCTAGCACCCACATGGTGGCTAACAACCTTCCGTAACTCCAGTTCCAGGGGAATCCAAAGCCCTCTTCTGACCTAGGTGGGCATTTCATGACATGGGTGCACTTACGCATATGCAGGCAATACACTCATACACATAAAATAAAAATAATAACTAAAATAAAAATAAAGAGTAAAGTATTTAGAACCATGCCTGGCACACCGTAAATGCTCAATAAATGCTAATTGCCACTACCACCATCACCATCACCATCATTGTTTTTACCATCACCACTGTCATCATCATCACCAACACCATCACCATCATGCTCACCATCAGAATCAACATGAACACCATCACCACCATCAGCACTGTTATCACCATCATCTTTCCCACAGAATCAATGCCATTATCACCATCATCATCACTATCATCACAATCGTCATCACCACCTATCACCATCATCCTCACCATCAGAAACAACACCATTACATCCCCATCATCAGTATCATCATTATCATCACTATCATTACCATCACTCTTACCACCATTACCATCATCCTCACCATCAGAATCAACATTAGCACTATCATTATCATCAGCAGCAGCAGCACCACCACCACCACCACCATCATCATCACCGTCACCATCGTTATCATTACACTCCCATGGTCTTAGGGTAAACACATGCTTTCATCCATCTGCCAGTGTTGTCTAGTACGGTGACCCATTATTCTTTAATGTTTAAGGTATTACCTGAGGAGTATTTAAACCATTATTGTTCCAAACCACCTTACTTCCCTGCTTTCTCAGCACCCTCTGAGCTCTCTAGAAAACATAAGGCTAAATTTGAGGTGCTATGTCCCCTGTCTGCAACTTCTAGGAGAGGACTGACAGCAGCCCTGTAGTGACTGGCAGTTCTGTGGTCCCACGCTTCATGGCTGAAGCAAGACTGAGATCCAACTGGGATTATCTTGTTTGTGCTGGATTGTGTTCAGGGGTTGACTGCGAGAGAAATGTGGCCACCTAAGCTGATTCTTCCCTCTGAGGCCAACTTTGTTTGATTTTGGAGAAGAGGGGAGGGGAAATGGGGAGAGACTGAAAGGGGCCTGAGTACCTTCAATGCCGAACCTGAACATGGCCCTCTGCTCACCTTCCTGCTTCCAGGAAGGGAGTTCAAGTGATCATAGGTCTTCAGCTTCTGAGCCCATTTCTGAGGGTGCAAAATTGAATGGCATCTCTCTGTACCATCTGCTTTTGCCTTCCATTGTAAAAAAACCCTGTGATTGTGTCTTCTGTTCACGAAACTGCTCCATTTCATGCTCCTTCCTGTGGTCCCCTTGCACAATAAAACTGCTCACAAGTCCAACCAAGCTCTATCTTGTCCGTGTCTTGTTGCATTTCTTCGCCATGTGTCTTGCATGCCACCGCTCTGCTGCTCATGCCAATGCTAGGTGGGGTGTGGGCTGGAGGGCTAGGTCTCCAGACATAACCCAGGCCTCTGTGGGAGGGAACAGAGTGGGATTTTGTGACTTCCTTATGGGAAACGGGTAGAAAAACTACCTTGCTTAGAGGGTCCCATACCAACTGGTAAGGGGGCCATTTGCCCTGAAGAGGGGACCATCTCAGGCCAGGTAAGTGAAGAAAGATCATGACCATCGAGGAAGGAGTAGGTAGGGAAAAGAGAGAGAGGGAGGGAAGTAGGAGGGTAGAAGGAGGCAGGGGAAAAGGATACTTACACTCTATGATCTTGGTTAAGGGCCTTTATCTCATGAGCTTCTGTCTTCTTACTTGTAAGGTGGGATGGTGGCAGGAGTTTATGACAAGTCCCAAGGAGTGGGATTCAATTCATGAACTTAGTAGGTATCGCTTTGATACCTCCTTTTTCTCTTGACAAAGCCCGTTTCTTCATTAAGGTATCTTTTTTAGGTCCAATTTCTAGGACCGCCAACCTCATTAAACTCCCACAGGTAATATTTGTTAGTAGGGACAGCTGGGGCTTTTGGGTCACGCACTCCTGGAGTCAGAGGTTCTTTTAATCACTGTCCTAATCTTTTATTGCTGTGTTAACACATGAACCCAATCAGGAAGCAGTTTTTAGCTCACGGTTGTTTAGGTAAGACGTGGCTGGTGTTTCAGTTCCTTGAGGCTACTATAACAAAATAACATAACCCAGATGGCTTATAAACAATAGAATGTTTTCCAGTTCTGAAGGCTGAGAAGTCCACAGTTAAGGCACTAGCAACTTCAGAGTTTGAAGGCCTACTTTCTAACTCATGAATGGGGCCTTCCCACTGTGTCCTCATGTGATAGAGATGCTGTACTAGCTCTCTGAAGTCTTGTGTAAAAGGCAGTAATCTCTTTGGTAATAATCTCCCAAAGGCCCCATCTTCTAATACCACCTTGGAAGTGAGAACTTCAAAATAAGAATTTAGGATACACCTTCAGAACATACAAAGCAGTCAGGTCCCCTGTGCAGGGCTTACACGCAAGGGATCAGCCAGGCTGATCATGCGCCCGCCTGGAGGTTTTGAAGCCTTCTTCCAGGCTCACTTCCATGTTGGTAAGATTCAGGGCCTCGTTATAGGACTGCGGTCCCATTTCCTTGCTGGCCATTAGTGGGGGCTGCTGTCAGCTCCCGGAAACTATGTTCTAGTCTTTGCCCTGGGGCCATCCATCCTCCGAACCAGCAGTGAACAATTTCTCCCTCATTGAATCCCATTGTGTTTCCCATCTGTCTGACTTCTGCCTTTGGCCTCTTGATTATAATATAAAGGGCTCTTGTGATGAGGTCAAGTTCACCAAATACTCTCTCTCCCTTGGTAAAAGTCAATTGCAGGGCTACAGATGCAGCTCAGTTGGTAGAATGCTTACATAGCATTCATGAAGCTTAGTTCGATCTTCAGCGCCTCATGAACTGGGCATGGTGGTGCATGCCTATAATCCCAGCTCTTGGGAGATGGAGGCAGAAGGATCAGGAGTTCAAGGCCAGCCTCAGTCACATATTAGGATTCTTAACAGAATGTTTCCTAAGTAGAACCTCTTTAGGAAGGTAAGGGTTGCCAGGAATAATAGGGTGTGGTGAGAACATGCTTCCTTTGAGTCCATACCCTGGGATGGTCATACTGGGGATTAGTGGGGCCAGAGCTTGCATTTGCAATGAGGGCCCTAGAGGATCTGGCATATGCCACCTGAGACACCATCTAGCCAGTGTTTACTAACCCAGACTCTGGAGCCAATGAGTTGTGAAGGCTGCTTCCCTGTTTCCAACTTTCCTTGACTTCCTGAAGATGGCTCTCCCCATCTATGGAATGGAGGTCATAGTAACCGCCTCCCTGGGTGGTTCTGGGGAGGACATGCAGTCATCATGACTGTGAGCAAAGCTCAGCCTGGGGCCTCACAGCTGCTGAGTACTCACTCCTCTTCCTTCTTCCTTCTCTTCCCTCTTCTCTTCCAGCCCTACTCTTCCCTTCCCCCCAACTTTCCCTTCTCCTCTCCCTTCCTCTTCCTTCTCCCCTCCTTCCTGTCTCCTCCTTCTTCTTCTTTTGAGTCAGGGATCTCATGCAGCCCAAGCTGGTCTTGAACTTTCTAAGTGGCTGAGGATGACCTTGAACTCCTGATCCTCTGCCTCTACCTCCTAAGTGCTGGAATTACGGGTAGCTTGGTTTATGTGGTACTGAGGATTGGACATGCTAGGGAAGCACTGCTAAGTGAGGTGTATCTCAAGCCCAACTCACTACATCTTAATAGTAATAGTTGTTATAATGTTAAGTAGTGGGCCTAGGCCTGGGCCTGGGCTCAGGCTTGGGCCTGGTCTGGTTACTGGCCTGTGGTAATCTGGGTGATAGAACAACAGTCCAACAGTTGTTGTTTTAGAATGGGATCTTGTTTGAATTTCAGGAAGCTAGTGGGTGAAAACGGAGGCCCTCCATTCCTCTTGACCACCAATCTTTTTCTTCTTTCAAAAACTATCCTCAGGTACACCTAACTGTAGGTTGGACCTGGCCCATGTGAATGACCTTGAGAGCAGGCCTCACTCTGAAGTCAGTAGCCCTCTGCACAGGGCTTGGAGAACTTCCTTCAGCCTCAGAGCCTGGGGGACAGGCAGAACCCTCTGAGCAGCACATCCATGTGATGGTTTCAAAAAGGGTCCATTCTTTACTGCAGTCATTTCCTTTCCAGTCCAACTATCTCTGGGATACCACCCATCTCCCCTTAGGACCTCTTTCCTGGGGCTTTGATATGGCATGTGACCGTAGCAGGCCTTCAGGAGGGACCCAGCAGCCCAGGCCAATGGGCCCTTGTGTCCTGCAAAGGAAATGTGATAGCAAACAAAAAGTCACAGTGGAAACCCCAGCTTTAATTCCTTGCTCAGCTTGGACAAAGGTCCTTCAGGTTCCTTAAGCTGAAGATGTGCCAGACCCTCCCCTTCACTCTCAACTCCTGGGCCCTGGTGATGCAGAGGATGAGATAGTTCCCTTTTCTCTGCTGTGACAGAGAATCACCTCTTCTAGAATCACCTGTTTCTTTCCCACAGGCCACTGGGTTCCACACCTTTCTTCTTAGCTTCTCCTGCCCTGTCTGAGAGGAGCCTGGGCAGGTCCTGAGACTGGAACCCCTAAAATATTGTCAGAGTGGACAAAGGTGGGGTATGGTCTCAGTCCCCCGAGGCTCGGCAGTTCGAGGAGGCAGCCACAACAGGTCTGCATTGTTGCCACCAGGAGACTGAGTTAGCTGAGCTGGGGGTCCAGGTGGCTGGGGACACATGACTCACTCCTGAACTCTGTTCTTTCCTTCTCTACAGCCAGGCCAGCACTTGGCTCCCAGCCCTCACCTGGCTGTGTACACCGGGACCTGTGTGCCTCCATCTCCCTCCAGTCCCTTTTCTCCATCCTGTCGCTCCCCGAGGAGGCCCTTCCCCTCACCAAGTCGCTTCATCAGGCGGCCCAGCATTGCTATCTGCCCCTCTCCCATCCGAATGGCCTTGGAGAGTTCCTCTGGCCTGGAGCCCAAGGGGGAAACCAGCTGGTCTGGAGCCCATTGTGGCCTCCCCACTGAAAGCTGCGAGGCCTCTGTGGAGCACCCCAGGCCGTGCAACCAGCCCAGGGCCCCTCCCAAGGCCAGGGCAGCCCTGTCCCTCGGCAGGTTTCTGAGACGAGGCTGCTTGGCTTCTCCGGTTTTTGCCAGGCTCTCACCCAAATGCCCCGCTGTGTCACACGGGAAGGTGCAACCTCTGGGGGATGTGGGCCAGCAGCTGCCCCGGCTGAAACCCAAGAAAGTAGCAAAGTAAGGAACAGAAAGGGTTGGTACTGTGCATGTGAACTGTGTGGTTGTGTCTGTGGCTGTAAGCTGTGGCTCCACTGTGCTGGTGTGGTCTGGAGCCATGGGGCTGGGATGGGTAATGAGGAGGATGGTGAAGCCCAGATACCACAAGAAGACTGATCACATCTCTAAGCCACAGGGATGTCTCCAGAAACTCAGTCCCATTCATCCTTCCTCTTTCTCCCCAGGATGGCAAAGAGATAGGAGTCTTTCCCCTTCTTCTTTTCCTACCAGTGCCCTCGACTCACTTGAATATTAGTGCCCTCGACCCAAGAATATTAGTCTGCTAAATCCATTGCATTTGCAAAGGGCTGTGGCAGTAACCACAGACGATGGGGTCCCAAGGCATGGTTCCCAGGGGCTCCAGCCAGCCCCTACCCACCTGCACTAGGTGCTCTGGCCTCCCTGGTGCTCACAAACATCTGCTGCCCACACCCCCACACATCCACTTGTCCACTGTCCTAAAGGACCTTTCCAGGGTGCTTGTTCTGGAAATGGTCCCTGAAATTGAGTATCCAACCTCCACCTGTGCAGTAGTCCCTCTAAACTCTCTTGGGCTGACTCTGGAAGCCCAACATCTAGAACTCCAAGTGCCTGGAGGCAGCCAGTGTGTACAGAGCAGAGACCCAGAGGAATGTTTGAGCTTACCTGAGCAGCAGTCAGTATAAAACCAAGACTCAGCCTCATCTCACCTGGGACATGGAGGGGACAGTCAGAGGCACCTTCAAACCAATCAACATGCTCCTACATTTGGCCCTGCCTGGGCTTGGAGAAGAAAATGACAGGCAGAAGTCTTGGGTTGTCATGGAGACCCAAGGAGTGTAGCCTGTGCCTTGTGTAGTGTGTATGGCCAGCAGAGAACCGAGGCTGCTGTCCCCTTCCTGCCTGTGTGGCTTGGAGAAGCAGGAGGGGAGGTTAGCTCGTTGCCTTAGGAAGGGGTCAGGATCCAGTGTGTGCCTATTGATTCTTCCCAGCTGGGCCTGCTGAAGGAATGTTCTAGCTCAGAGCCATTGTCTCCCTTCACATGTGGGCATGGGGCTTTTACAAAGCTCTCTTCCCAGTGGCCTCAAGAGGCAGTTTAAAGGGGTTGAGGGTTAAGTACTGGTATGTTGACACTCAGGGACAGGCTGAATTGATCAAAACCATAAAGACTGAAAATGAAAATAAAGCATGTTTGGGAGCATCTTTAATTCAGCTGGAAAATGTAAGCCCCAGTTAAAGGGGTCCCTAGAGCCAATGGCTGTACATGCCATTCTGGGTCTGAGGGTGTGCTGGCCTTCAGAACTGTTGGGGCTATGTAGGGATTACCCTTTCACCCACGCTTTCTTCACTTGGTTTCTTTTTGTGCCCGAAGTTTTTTCCAGATCAAAATGGATATGCCTACCGACAGTGGGCCCTGCCTGATGGATTCCGATGACACAGGGGCAGGAGAGTCTGGAGACCAGACCACAGAAAAGGAGGTCATCTGCCCCTGGGAGAGCCTGGCCGAGGGGAAGGCAGGCTGAGCAGAGCCCTGGGCCAAGAAGACGGTCCTGGCAGGGATCTTCAGATGGGGGCCCTGGGGCACACTTGCTTTCAAACCTAAGTGCATTAGGGTGATATTGAAGGTCTATAGGAGAGCAGATGGGGTGGGGCGTGGGGAAGCGTGCTCTGGCTGACTCCCAATGGCCACCCCTTCCCCCTTCCCTTCCCTTTCCCTTGCTTGGCCAGAAAGGCATGTGGGCCAGAAGACATCCCTTGCTGCCTTAAAAATCAATAAAAGGGTCATGGAAGATTTTCTTGGATTGGAAATCTAGCATATGCCTGGTTTTATTAATACTCATAACCTATTATTTGTGAGTTAAGCTCATGCCTTCAGTTTTAAGGGTATGGGGACACTAGGTTGCTTCTAAGAGTTCCCTCCCTGTCTGTCTTAGTTAGTTTTCTATTGCTGTGATGAAAACACTGACCAAATTTAAAATATACTGTTTCATCAGAAAAACTCATTTTTAATGCTACTAACAGATGTTTGCACATGTATCTCTAATCTTTATGTATCTGATTACATAATTATAGAATTATTACTTCATTAATTCATTAAATACTTCCTGGGTACTCAGTAAGTGCTAGACATTGTTTTAGATCCTTGAGATATTCGTGTAGAGATTTCAGGCCTCAGGGAACTTGCATAAAGAATGAATGTAGTAACTAAGGGAAGATTAGATGGCAATAAATACATAAAAATACAAAATGACTCAGGACAAGGAATATCAAGAGGGAACAGCTTGGAAAGAGGGGCATTCTATTAAATAGTAAGGTTGGTGTGGGCCTTGTTGGAAAGATGACATTTGAGAAAGAAAGTTGCTGTGGTTCGAATGTGTCCTCCACATTCCTGTGTTAGAAACTTAATCCCCATTGCAGCAGTGCTAAGAGGTGAGGTCTGAGAATGGGCATTAAACGCCCTTGTAGGTGGATTCACAGAGTGGCTTATCTTGAGAGAGTCTGCCGCAGTAGTGACTTAGTTTGCTTTCTATTGCTGTGATGAAAACACTGACCAAAACCAACTTGGGGAGGAAAGGATTTATTTCACCTTACAGCTTCCAACAGTTAATCAAGGGGAGTCAGGGTAGGAGCTCAAGGTGGGAACCCAGAGCACATACTTAGAGGAATGCTGCTTACTGACTTGTCCCTCTGGCCTGTGCTCAGCCTGCTTTCTTATACAACACAAGACCAGCTGCCCAGGGTGGCACCATCCACAGTGGGCTGGGCCCTCCTACATCACTCAGTAATCAAGAAAATGCCCCACAAACATGGCAACAGGCCAATCCAATGAAGCAATCTCTCAATTGAGATTCCCTCTATCTAAGTTGAAAACCAAAGCTATCCAGCACACTGTCTACGATGATTTGAGCATGATGCTTTCATTAATTGAGCTCTCGGGTGGGCGTTCCCCAGGGTGTGAGCATTGCACAGGAAGGGGAACAGCTAGGGCAAGGCTCACTCCTGAAAGGGCAGATTCTCCAAGATACTCACCAGACAGGATTTGTTGGGAAAGGATAAAGGGCATTAGTTAGTCCCTCCCTCCCTCCCTCCCTCCTTTCCTCCCTCCCTTCCTTCCTTGCCATGGTCTCCGAACCCCTTCCTCTTGGGCAGAGGAACGAGAGGCCGCAGCAATGGGGGTCGAGGAGGGGGAAGTGCGCTGCCTGCCAGCCCTTCTCTCCGAGGACAATCAGACGCGGCAGGGAGTCGCTTCAAGCAGGAACCTCGTTTATTGGCAAGGCTGATCAATATTTAAGGGCAAAAGCTGCAAGCATTAGCATAGGAGGGAAAGCCGTCATCCAATCAGCTTAGAGGTCATGTATGCCACGCAGGCTCTTCTCATAGTATAACACAGTGTTCACGAGGTGATCACACGTCCTTTACTGGCTAGGCTCCAGTCAGTATTGCTTCCTCTTTTTGTGGCGGGCCAAGCTGGCCAGCTGGCCCCACCTTCACCTCAGCTGCTCAGCGCCATCTTGTTACTGCACCTCCACACTTCCTTCCTTCCTTTTTAAAATTATGTGTCTATGTGTGTCTGTGAATGTGCACATGAGTGCAGGTGCCCATAGAATCCAGAAGAGGGCTTCAGATCCCCTGGAACTAGAGTTGCAGGCAGTTGTGAGCCACCCATTGTGGCTGCTGAGAGTTGAACTTGGGTCCTCTGGTCCACTATGCACTCTTAACTGCTGGTCCATCCCTCTAAGCCTCTCTTTCAAAAAAAAGTTTTAAAAAATCTGTGAATGATTGTGTGTGTGTGTGTGTGTGTGTGTGCCATCAAGTTGATAATGAAGACTGACCATCACAGGGTGGAGCTGGAGAAGAAGGGAAGGGCTTCAGGTCCTGATGCAGGAACATCTCAGTTTCAAGAATGTATTGGACAGGCCATCCAGGGCATCCTTGAGTCAAAGTCACTGAGTGGAGCCATGTGGGGCCTCGGAATGGTCTTATATCAGTACCCCAACTGTGCATGGTTAGCTGGGAGCACCCCCACCCCCATGGGAAGCCTGGTCCTGCAGGGATATCGGAGGGCCTGTGTTGCAGCAACCAGGCCTTCAGTCATCCACTCCCTGTGGTAGGAGGTCCAAGCACTCATTTTATACCAGGCTGCTAGACACATCTGGCGATGTAGGCCTTTGGTGTGCTCCTCCCATCTCTTCCCCCAGATACTCATCAAGAGACATCTGCTGAGCCCTTACTGCTTGTCTGGCACTGTGCCAGGCCTGAGGAGGCAGCTGTGAGTAGGATGCCTTGCTTCGTGGATTTCACCAATTCAACCAGGTTGATTTTGTCGCCCCCACAGGGCACTGGATAGTATCTAGAAACAAAGGTCAAGGTCAAGATGGGTGTGGAGTGAGCAGAGCTACTAGTAAGTAGGGGTCAGGAATGAGGCTCAACATCCCACAGTGCTTAGAACTCCTCATAGCAAAGAAACATTGGGCTAGGGGCTCAGTTTACAGCCTTGTCTGTGGTTTCTACCAGATCCAAAATATTGCCCCACGGCATCCTTCTGGGATTGTGGTTGGAGACAGCAGTGGGCTGAGATTAAGAGCTACGTGCTGTCACTGAAGTCCATGGGAAGTCCCTAAAGGAGAAGAAAACTCCAGTAGTTTGTCAAACCACCCTTCTTTGCTGTTCCTGCTTAACACCTAAGTGCATGGGAATTCAATGAACAGATAAGAGCCCTAACTTGCTTTTAGCCTCTGACAGCTTATTCTATGTAGGCCATGTCCTGGGGCTGCTGAATAATCTTTCTGCACACTTCTAAGAATGAATATTGGGCAAGTGTGTGACTGAAGCTTGGGCTTGCCAATCCTTGCAAACATAGATGCTTCAGCGCTTCGAGAACGTTGACCAAATCTCTATTGGGCTCACAAAGGAGTTATTCATCAAGGGCTAAGGAAACATTTCACCCAGGAAGAAGTGACTAGTCCTGGTCTTCCTTTGAAGGTCAGGGGAGCTCGTTTATTTGATGCCACAAATCTGGCCTAAAATGAGATTACAGGTGAGACCATCCAATCCCATAGTCTACTGCCAGCCAGTATGTCCACAAACAAGGGAATCTCAGTGCTTGATTTTGATACTAGCGTTTATGGGGCTCCACTTCCAAGCCCCAAGGCCCTAAAAAGAAAAGAGTCCATCCTGATCCCCAGCATCACAGACAGAAGCCTCCAAGATCCACTGGTTGGACTGGTAAGGTCCAGCCTAAAGTTCAGTAACAAATAGACCCCAGAAGTAGGAAGTGGCTTGAGTATGAAAAGTTTCTATTTCCATGTAGCTGCTCAAAGACAGAAGGGTAGTCCAAGCCAAGAAGAGCGAAAGGAAGATAGGAAATGCAAGGACTACTCTTCAAAAAAAAACCTTGTTGTTCCCTCAGTTACAGATATGATGATTCTCCAATTTGTCTGGACGTTAGAATCACTAAGGAAACATGAAAGTGTGGCCCCCAGGCAACACTGGGCCCAATAAGGTCAGAATTTCTGGGGGATAGATTTGACATCAGGACTTTAAGGAATTTTCCAGAGTGTGTTTAATGTCCAGGTGTTTCAGCTACTTTTCTGTTACTGTTGTTAAACACCATGATTAAAGCAACTTATAGAGGGAAGAGTTTATTTGGGCTTATAGTTTCAAAGGGATAAGAGTCCATCGTGGCCAGGAGGCATGGTGGAAGATGCAACCAGATCAGAAAGCTGAGTGCTCAATCTTCAACTACTCACAGAACACAGACAGAGTGACTAGAAGTGGCATGAGGCTATGGATTCTCAAAGCCCACCCCTAGTGAGATGCTTCCTCTAGGAAGGCCACACCTTTTAAGCCCCTGAAAACAGCACCACTAAGTAGGGCCAAATGTTCAAATACTTGATGCCTATGGGAGACATGTTTCATTCAAACTACCACACCAGGTGAGGTTAAAAACCACTACCATGGGCTAAGAATTGAACCTGGTTCACCACCCTAGTTCCCACATCCATGCCCAGGAGGAAGTGGTGGGAAGGCAGCTGTGTATTAGTCAGGGTTCTCCAAAGAAACAGAATATGAATATATATGTATAGAGATTTATCAGCTTAGCTCACAGGATAGAGTCTGAGTAGTCCAACAATGGCTGCACCACACTGGAGAGGCTGAGAATCCGTAGTCGCTCAGTCCATGAAGCTGGATGTCTCAGTAGTCCCAATCTGGTGCTGAAGGTCTGACAAATTCCAAAAGATCGGCTAGTCTTCAGTCTACAGCAGCAAGACGAACTCACCAGTGAGAGAGAAGGCAAGCAGCAAGAAGCCAGTCGTTCTCCTCTGCCGTGGCCTTTTTTATGGGCTGCCATCAGAAGGTGATGCCCACATTTAGGGTGTGTCTTCCAGCTTCAGATGATCCAATCAAGAAGATCTCTCTCATTTCAGTTAACCCCAGATCTGGTCAAGTTGACACCCAGGATTAGCCATCACAAGTCCACCCCTTGTCAACTTAACACCCAATAGCATCTGTCTATGTCATGCTTAATTTTCAAATGAAAACAATGTTGAGGTCATAATTTCACCTAACATGATATAACTATCCCATCATACAATGACCAGTGCATTATATATCTTAGAGTAGGTGATAAGGTCTTCGAGGAATGCTTAGTCCTTTAGTGTCTCATAACCCAACATAATCACATAGGTTCATAACACTTAACCACTTAACACTTATCTCAACTACACATTCAAAAAAGAATAACTCAAGTATCTGCTTAACATATGTATATACATGTACAAGCCTATT